TGTGGCGGGGTGGGGGGGGGTGGGGGTGGGGGTGGGGTGGTGGGGTGGTACAGAAGGGCTTTACAACCAGACAGAGCAGGAGTCAACCTGGGGGTCTTCCAGCACTGGCCTTAGAGGTCAAAGGTGTTAACACCCCTGGGCTGGCAGTTGAGGCATCACAGAGATTACATATGCAAGTCTCTGTGCATACAATGCTCCCCCCCCCCCCAGCTCCTAACCCTAGCCTGTTCAGCCAGTGTCCGTGGGGGAGAGGCTGGCCCCTATTTCCACCAGGCCTTTCCCCCTCGGTCTGGTCTTTCCTACGGTGGGGACCCCTATTCCGGGTCTGTTCTCCCCCGTGTGCTGGGGGTGGGCTTAAGAATGAATGGCTAGGAAGCTTCTCTTCGCCTTAGTGGCTAAACCATGGGCTGCTATTTGAAAGGTGCTCCTCCTAACCCGTCCTGCAGTCCCTCACGGGAAAGACCTGGTAATCCTGCCCTGGCCAGTGGACCGCCAAGAGAACCCTGCGGGCAGGTCACTCCGTGCCACCTGTGAGTCGGCATGGCTTCAACAGCACCCAGCTGCCCCACTCACTGCACCATCCTTCATGCCACCTCTGCCCTTCAGCCCACTCTGACTCGGCCGACACTACGGGGCACAGGAGAAAGCTCCACAGGGTTCCCCCGACTGCAAACCATTACAGAGCTGCAGCCAGCCTCGTCTTTTCCCTGAGCAGAAGATGGTGGGTTGGACCCCGGACCTTGTGGTTATCAGTCCAATCCACTGCTACAGCAGGGCCCCTGGCACCCTCACAGGCCACCTCTGATGCAGGATGTCTCAGCGGCATCTGCTTCATCAGAAAGGCTCAAGACCTCCCTGAGCAGAAAAGCAAAACAGAACAGAAACATGAACAAACGCACCCAAGTAGGCCAGTGCTGTGGCTCCTGTGTTCACAAACCTGTGGGTATCTGTCCATCTGTGTCCGTCCATCAGTCTGCCGTGCGGTGCCGGCTAGTGTGTGGTTGTGATGCTGGAAGCTGTGCCCCTGGTATTTTCAAACGCCAGCCGGGTAACCCAAAGTGAACAGGTTTCAGCGGAGCTGCCAGGCCAAGAACAGATGCTGAAGGTAGTCCTGGAACCAAGTGGACACCACGGAGACACTGTCAGACTTGGAGACCCTAAGCACAGAAGCAGAGCAGTTGTGGGGGTGGCGCAGAACCACAGGCTCATTGTGGGTGGGAATTCAGTTGCTGGCACATTCAAAATGACCTGGTCTCTGTATCTTGGTGTGCACCAGGGAGGTCAGCACGTCTCGCTCTAGGGATCCACTCTACCCACTGGTGAGTAGACTGTATAAGAAAAAACTTGTGCAAGCCTTCCTCTGCCGTCGGTGTGCAAGCCTGTCTCTGTGATCAGTGTGCAAGCCTTTCTCTGCCATCAGTGTGTGAGCCTGTCTATGCCTTCAGTGTGTAAAGCTCTCTCTGTGATCAGTGCGCAAGCCTGCCTTTGCCATTGGTGTGTGAGCTGACTCTGCAGTCCTCTGGGTGGACTGTCAGCAGAGATACTGCCCTGGAGAAGACATCATGCTTGGTCAAAGTAGCAGCGAGCAAAAACGAGGAAGTCCCTCAACAAGACCGATGGACACAGTGGCTGAACAATGGACTTTAACATGTGTGTGGAGTGAGGGGGAGAGAGTCATCCCTTGAGTCAGGCACATAGCTCATGCTCTCGGCTGTTAGGTCGGGGGTGCTAGAACCCCCTCCCCCGGGGTGCCTGGAAGAAAAGCTAGGCAGTCCACTTCCCCAAGTCAGCCATTGAACACCCTGGGGTGGGGGCGGGGGGCGGCAGTTCTACCGAGACATGCCTGGAGCCAATGCCACAGCTAGGGGTCTTATTTACACAGACACTAAAGCCAGCCCTACTGGCCCAGAGTTGGTTTGGGTTGACCTGGAGACTATAGGGCAGGGCAGACCTGCTCAGTGGGGTTCTGAGACTGTAGATCTTTGTGGGAGCAGGTGCCTCCTTTTTCTCCCTCAGAGCAGCTCATGGGTTTGAGCCAAAGACCTTGAGCAAACCATCAAGGAGCCCATGGGGAATATAGATTTCTCTCAGGGCGCTGAGTCTCATCTAAAAACAAAAGTAAACAACAGGTGTCAGAAGACCCGAAACAATAATTTCAATGCGAACAAGGTGGGTCAGAGTGGAGACCCAAAGCCCATCCATAGACCATCGGACATCCCCTCACAGAAAGGTCACAAGGAAGAGACGAGCCAGCCAGGGTGCAACATAGCACCAAGGGAACACACAACATTCCTCTAGGATTTTAAGGCTACCCCCCACCACTGTTAGGACCCCAGTTCTAGCTTACAAGTCTGGCTAGACAGAGCATGGACACTGGTACAGATAAGAGCTCTGGACAAACAGAGTCCAGGAGAGAGAAGCCCCTCAGGACTAATAATGAGAGTAGTGATACCACGAGGGTAGGGGGAAGGTGGGGGGAGAAGGGGTGAAAGGGAGAACCCATTGTAATGATCGATTTACAAACCCCCCAGGGGGAGGAGGGAGACAGTAGACGATGTAAAATATGAAAATAAAAATAATCTATAAATGATCAAAGGTTCACGAAGGAGGGAGGGTGGGGGAGGGAAGGGTAAAAAGAGGAGCTGATACCAAAGGCTCAAGTAGAAAGAAAATGTTTTGGAAATGTTGATGGCAACATATGTACAAATGTGCTTGATACAACTGATGTATGGATTGTGATAAGAGCCCCCAATAAAATGATTTATTAAAGTTAATAAAAAAAACTGACTTGATGGCACCTAACAACAAAAACCTCACCACTCTATTTTTCCCCATAGAAGGCAGCTGCCATAAACACACACACTCACTCACTCACTCACTCACTCACTCACTCACTCACTCTTCTAAGGAGAAGGCTCCTTGTAAGCTTTCTTGCAGAGGCGGCAACAATGGGCCCAGGCACAGGAATAGGCTCTGGGGTCACATACAGGCTGCCCTCTTTCCCACAAATCCATGCTGCCAGAGGCACAGGCTGTGTTGCTGGCAGGGGCAGGGGCCTGCTATTGGGGAATTGAGGTGTGGGCAATGGGGCCTGTAAAGTGTTTCCTAAGTTACTTTGGGGGGAAGTTGCACGCAGAGCCCCAATCCTAAGACAACCAGAGTGGTTGTCTCCCATAGAGGGGTGCTTAGAGGGTCACAGAGGAGAAAGAGGGACCCTCCTCCTCCCCAGGTCTGGTGTCCCTGGGACTCAGTTCCAGCCTGGCTGAAGGGAGTTTTGGGCTGTAACACCCCCCCACCCCCACCCCCGCCTCTAGCTTTCTTGAAGGGCATGGCAGAATGGAGGGTCTTGTCTTGAGAACAGAGACAAAGCCCCCAGACCCAGACCACAGGGTTCTGGGAAGGAGGGAGAAGGCATGGCTACTCCAGGAGGCCTCGGCCTCCTGAGGGGCCCTGCCAGCCTGGGGGCATTTCCGGAGTCTTTGCCATCACACCTCAGATGGACGCCCCTCCAGGAGTGTGGGAAGGCCTTCCCGGGCATCAGAATGGGCCTTCTTTTCCTAGGTTTTGTTTCTGGTTGACCAACGCTGAACCAGTTTGCAAACTTCCAGACGTCCCCCCCCCCCACTTAAACCCTTTTCTTTCTATCCTCATTTTTCCCCTCAGCTCCTCCCCCCCCCCTGCTTATTTTAGGCATAGGGGGAGGCTCCGGCTGCCTGAGACCACCGACCTCACCTTTGGGTGTGTTGTGGGTGTGTTGTGTCCCCACAGTAAGGGGAGGGTTACAAGGATGGCCCTGGTAGGGCCCGCAGTCAGGGGCAAATGCAGGCCTTTTGGTGCTGCTTAGCCTAAGGAAGTCTCCTCCTGTGTCAGCCCCTGGGAGATTCCCACCACCCAGAGCAACAAAAGAAACAGAAAAACGCAGCGAGAATGAGGCGTCAGGTGCAGAGGCTGACTGCCAAAGCGGGAGAGGGGGTCGAAAGCCCCCCCCCCAACTAAGTGCCCGTCCCCCCACCCCTACCCAGGGGAGGCAGGCGTCTCCTATTGGAAGGTCCTGCTCCGGCACCAAGCCCTGCTAGGTGCCTCGAGGAGTCGTGGGAAAGCGGGGCGCTGATGCACACCCCCATCTCCCTACCCCACCCAGGTGACCACAGGCCAGGGGGTGAGGTGCATACGATAGGGACCCCCATGATCTGGAAGAACGGCTGAGTCGCCCAGCGTGGTCCCCGCCCCCCAACTTCCCCGACCCTCCCAGGAATGTTATTGTTGGGACCCCCCCACCCCCACTCCGGACAATTTCCTGCCCATTGTCACCTTCCTGCACTCGCCCGGCCTGGTTCTCACCGCAAGGTCATAAACCGCCACTGGCTGGCAGGCCAAGCCAGGATGCGCCCCCGGCCTCTGGCCCCTCCAGCCTCGCCCCAAATGGCCTCCCAACAGCCGGCCCCCGTGGCCCTCCGAGCCGAGGTCTGCCCGAGAGGGCGCGGGGACGCCCTGGGGAGCTTGCGTTCCGTCGGGCTACAGGGTGCAGGGGCCAGGGGTGCTGTGCCGGATTGTGGGACCCCCAGGCCCGCCCCGAGCGGGACCTGTGCCCTCAGGCGGCCGGCCCCTCCCCCGGCCGGCCCCGCCACGCCGACCGAGGTGCAAACAGCTGCGGGGGCGGGGGTGTGGGCTCTGGCCGTCGGATTAGCATGCGGGCAGCGGGACGCACTGGTGGCGTTCCCCGAGTCTGATGTGGCCGCCCGGACCAATGGGCAACAGCCCAGCACTTCAAAGGCCAGTGGCCACGCCCCCAGCAGCCGTCCTATTTAGGGTGGGGGGCGCCCAGCGCCGCCGCTGAGACCTGGCCTGCCCGCTCTGGGGAGTTCAAGTGGAGCCGAGCCTGCCTCGCCCTGCCTCGCCCCCCCGCAGGGTCGCGCTGGCCCCGGTCCTCGAGGGCACTCTTTCTGGCAGAAGAGGCGGTGGCCAGGGGGCGACAGTGGCTGTCGGGGCGCGGCTGGAGCATGGGGTCCCCGGGCGCCGAGGGCGCGGGGAAGGGTCTGCAGCACCGGCTGGACCACCTGCTGAGCGCAGTGGAGAGCGAGCTGCAGGCGGGCAGCGAGAAGGGCGACCCGACGGAGCGCGAATTGCGTGTGGGCCTGGAGGAGGGCGAGCTGTGGCTGCGCTTTAAGGAACTCACCAACGAGATGATTGTCACCAAGAACGGCAGGTGGGTTGGGTGCGCCCTCCGCCCGCGCCTCCAGAGCCCTCTCATTGCCCAGCCTCCCAACCACCCGGGAGGAAGGCTGGGCACCGGACGCGGTGGGCTGGAATCGCTACTGGAACTTAAGTGCGATGAAGGGCCCCTGGTTTTCCCTGCTGCTGAAATGCAGCGCCCTGCGCTTTCCCAGGCGGCTTGATCTTCCCAGGGCTCTGGGTCAGGGACGCTGAGTTGAGTATCAACCTCCACTGGAGGGCCCCGCACTAACGGCTGCGTGTCCATGTCCCTGGTCCGCTCTCTGCTCTCAGGAGGATGTTTCCAGTGCTGAAGGTCAACGTGTCCGGCCTGGACCCCAACGCCATGTACTCCTTCCTGCTGGACTTCGTGGCGGCCGACAACCACCGCTGGAAGTACGTCAATGGCGAGTGGGTGCCTGGGGGCAAGCCAGAGCCGCAGGCGCCCAGCTGCGTCTACATTCATCCGGACTCCCCCAACTTCGGGGCCCACTGGATGAAGGCGCCAGTCTCCTTCAGCAAGGTCAAACTGACCAACAAGCTCAATGGGGGTGGCCAGGTAAGCTGGGAGGGTGGTGCTGCCTATGGTCCCAGAGGCCTGTGTTGGGGTCATGTCTTTCCTTGTGGTGGTGGGGGGTGGGGGGTGCAGGGTTGGGCCCTTAATTAATCCTGCAAGGCATCTCCAGACCAGGGGATGGAAACAAGAGGATAGGACTCACCTTCAAAGGTGGGCTCACAGACCTCAAATTTAGGGGGGCGGGTGTGACCAGGAATGTGTATGCCCCAAAATTCTTTAGAGAGTGGGGTATGTCAGCAGGTACCAGCCTATGTGGCAACAGCCCATCAAAGTTAACTGTGCGGTGGTGTTTCCTGCGTGAGCCCAGCCCTGAACACACTTGTAAAAGCCTCCTTTCTAAAGAAGTGCCTGTAGTCCTTGGGGATTGTTTACAGCTGGACAGGTCAGCTGCAAACCAGGCTAAACTTTAAAGGTGGCCCCTCAGCCATGGTGGGGACCAGGTGCTTCATTCTGTCTTCAGTGGCTGGGTGGACACTCAGAGGGCCGGGGTGGGGTAGGGTGGGGGCAGCTTAGCCTCTCCTCCCCGTTTCCGAGTGCATCTGTGGAAACCACAGGTGTGAGATGCTGAGCCCCTCATCTGGGTCCCCCACTTTCCTATCCCTACTATCTGGGGGTGGTGGGGTAGTGGGCAGGTTGTGTTGTTCAGAGGTGGGACTGGACTGCCGTCTCTCTCTGTGTGTCCCTCTCAGATCATGCTGAACTCGCTGCATAAGTACGAGCCCCGGATTCACATCGTCAGGGTGGGGGGTCCCCAGCGCATGATCACCACCCATTGCTTTCCTGAGACCCAGTTCATAGCTGTGACAGCCTACCAGAATGAGGAGGTGAGGCAACCAGGGAGGGGGAGGGGCACGGGGGACAGATATGTGCAAGCTGAAGGGTGAGGGTCCAAATCGATATTCTCCATTGTGTGGAAGACACTCATGGGAGCGTCTAAAACCCAGGAACCAATCATTACATGCTCAGCACGAATGCTGGAAGCTGAACCCCAAGACGTTCAGGAGAAGCTTCGGAACATTTCTCAAGAGAAGGGCGCCTCTCTCCTCCCCAAAGGACAGGGTATCCCCTTCCTGCTCCCCTCCCCCTCCCCCTGTGAAAGGCCTCTCATCTCGGTGTACAATGCTGGTGTTTCGAGCAGAGCCACTCCCATCCGTCCCTGGTGGCATCTGACTCTCAGGGACAGTCTGTGATGTCATCGTGCCTTTACAGGTCATTGCCACCCCTAGCTAGAAGTTAGCAGAACATGCCCTCCCCAGAGCCAGACTGCATTTCATCCTGCTACGATTGATATACCTAGCATATTCGGTTAGCAGTGGGTTAAAACTCAAACCCAAACTCACTGCCATTGGGTCAATGCCGAGACTGTGAACCTTTTACAGGAGTAGAGAGCCTCTTCTTTCTCCCGAGGAGCAGCTGGTGGTTTCGAACTGCTCACCCTATGTATGTTTAGCAGGCCAACTTGTAACCTACTAGGTACACAACCAGACCTGTTGTAAAACATGACAAACTCACTGCTATCGACACGCTCCCAAGTCATAGCGACCCTCTAGGGCACCGTACACCTGCTTTTGTGTTTCTGAGACTAACTCTTCATGGGAGTAGAAAGCCTTGTCTTTCTCCCTCACGGCAGCTGGTGGTTTTGGACTTCAGACCACAGCCTGACATGTAACACACTATACCCCCAGGGGACTCCACACTTCTGTAGGTGGGATTAAAATAAAACCCTCACACTCTCTGTGATGAGCCAACTAACTGTTGAGGAGAATACAAAGCTCAGCCTTTCTCCAGAGCAGCCACTGAAGGTTTCAAACTGCTGACCATGTGGATCACAGCCCAATGTGTAACCCCTACACCACCAGGGCTCCTGGTGGGATAAGAGGCAGTGGGAATTCCATTTAGAAGAACAGCATTGAAAAACTCGATGCTTATGTGTAACATTTCCCCTTAAACTTACCGACAGCCACTGCAGAGCTCTGGAAAGGCATCTGACTTGGGTTTTCATGTTTCAAGGGGGTGTGGGGTGTGGTGGGATGGGATGGGATGGAATGGAGACTGGTAGGAGCCCTGGTGGCTTAGTGCGTTACGCTTGGGCTGCTAACCATAAGGTCAGCAGTTTGAGACCGCCAGCTGCTGTGCAGGAGAAAGACGAGGCTTTCTACCCCTGAGAGGATTTAACAGCCTTGGAAATGCACAGGGGCAGCTCTCCTCTGTCTTGTGGGGCCGCTGAGTCCGTCAGCATGGGCTCGCTGGTGGGGACTTTGGGTTTGGGTTTGGGTGCCTCCGGGAGACGTCTCCATCTTTGATGTTGTTGAGAAACACACTAGTCAATGCTGTTTCTTCTTTTGTCAGATCACAGCTCTTAAAATCAAGTACAACCCATTTGCAAAAGCCTTCCTTGATGCAAAGGAGAGGTGAGGCTGTGCTGAGCCCCCCCACCCCATCAAGAAATTGCATGGAAAGATGAGCCTTGGCGTGTCCTCTGATTTTCAATGTGCTCTCTTGGCAGAAACGACCCCAAAGATGTGCTCGAGGAAGTGGGGGACGGCCAGCCACCGGGGTACTCTCAATGTACGGTTTGTGACTTGGTCCCTTTTGCCCCAGGCACCTGGAGGAGCCTTGCTGGTGTGGTAGTTACTCGGTGGGCTGATAATTGCAAGGTCAGCCGTTTGAAACCACCAGCCGCTCCAAGGGAGAAAGATGGGGCTTTCTACTCGTGTCCAGAGTTACAGTCTTGGAAACCCACAGAGGCAGTTCTACCCTGTCCTACAGGGTCACTATGAGTCAGCATGGACTCAAGGGCAGTGACTTTGATTTTTGGCCCAGGCACCTGGGTTCAGCGGGAGCCAACCAACTGAGTGTAGAACCTGTGGGTGGAGAGGAGGGAGGGAGCTGAGTGCTGGAACCTGTGGGTGGAGGAGGAGGCAGAGGAGCAGAGTCACCTCTTGCCTGGTGCTGGGGTTTGGAAAATGTCACAGTTCTTGGCCCTGGCTTCCAATTGGGCTCTGGTACCCTCCCAGTATATGAGAGTTTAGTACAAGTTATAGAGAAGGGGCCTGGGCCTGAGGCTGGGACATGAGGGCCTTGGTAGGCGTTGAGACTACCCTGAGGGGCCCAGAAAGAGGTCAGCATGAGTCTGGGAGGCATTCTGTTTTATTGGGTGATGACCACCGGAGGGCCATCTCTGGGCTGGCATTCAGGGACAAGTGTGGCTCTTGGGATGGCTTGTGTGCTCAGGCTTGGTTATGGGGGAAAGGTGGCTCCCATCTGGGAGAATCCCATTTTTGGGTTCTCCTGGGAGTCTCAGGAGACAGGAATGGTGCCAGACAGGGAAGTTAATGAGTCAGTGCAAGGGCAGCTTGCTTCCACCGTACACAAATGAGGAGGGGTTGTTGAGTGGAAGCAGCTGGCACCAGGAGTCCTGGCCCCAGGGGAGTCCTGCCCCCATGACTCCCCACCTCCCCTGGCTGATTCAGTGATTCCGTTCTTACAGTGGTTGAGCCTGAAGGCTGACCACCCTCAGGATTAGTGTCTCCTAAGGACTTGGGGAGAGTCCAGTAAAGGCGCCTGGGGGTCTCTGGGGAGTGTTTGCTGGTCAACATGCTGGGGGGTTGAGGGCAGTCAGAGGTCCATGGGAAGAAAGGCCAGGTGGTCCCTCCACAGGACTCTCCACTGGGAACCCCATGGGGCACGTCCAGGTCGACACTTGGGGTCATCTTGAGCTTGGATTGACCCTGTAGCAAAGTGCCATTTAAGGAGGCAGGTTGGGTCTGTAGTCTCCTGGGCACCTCAAGGGTCCACTGCAGTTGGATACATGGCTGCCCTGTGGTCTTGGTGTGGTGTGTCCTGGGGGTTGAATATGCTAAGTGCAGTGTGAGGTTGAACATGTGGTTGACCTTTGGGGTCAGTGTGGTGTGTCCCTCTGATGGGATATCCTGAGCGTAGTGTCCTATGGGTTGGACTCATGGCTGGCCTGTGGCCTCTTGGTGTGGTGTGTCCCGCAGGGAGGATGTCCCATGGGCTGGCCTGGAGCATCGCCGTGGAGTGGAGGCAGACTCGGCCCTGCCCCGCCCCGGGGTTGTTGGCAGACACAGACTATGTTTAGGGGCAGGGGATAGGGATCTGGGGGGCAGATGGGCCCATCCCTCACCAAGACCCCGGGAAAAGCCCCACAGCTCCCTTGGGACCCCACTTGTTGGAATTGGGCCGCCCAGGCCCCTGTCACCCAGCCTTCTTTCCCACAGCAGGGGGGTGGCTTCTTCCTGGAACCAGCCCGCTCTGCCCACCTGCCAGTCCTCACCCTCAGTTTGGTGGCCCTCTCCCGCTCCCCTCCACCCATGGCTGTGATCGCTACCCTGCCCTGAGGAGCCACCGTGCATCCCCCTACCCCAGCCCGTATTCACACCACAGCAATTCTCCAAGTAAGTCTCGTTGGGCACACCGGGGCTCGGGGATGGCAAGGACAGGTGGGGAGGACACAAATAGTGATGGGCTTAGCGTGAACCCTGGGGACTGTGGGTTTGAGTCCTGGCCATCTGCTTCTGGAAAGTCCCACCTGGGAAAACCGAGCAGCTCTGCTTGGACATGGTGGTGGTGGTGGTGTCCCTGGGGGTCCTGGAGGCAGTGCCACTCCCAGTTCACCCCTCCTTCCCCCGGGTGTTCCCAGCCTTGAGGGTGTCCCTGGCCTACCCAGTCACCTTGGGAGGTCCCAGGTGAGCTGGTCCCTCGGATGGTCCCAGGGCTGTCTGTCCAGGTCATGGGCTTTTACAGTGACCCCTAGGGGTAAGCAAACATGGACATCACTGGCTTTGACTGGACATGCAGACTGGCGTGTTCCTGGGCCTAGACCAGCAGGATCAGCACCACCTGGGTCGTGGGGGAGAAGGCCTACCCAGAGGGGCTGACTCTGAGTTGGGTTGGAGGCTGGATACTCTCAGAGATGCCACGGAGCAAAGTCCTGGCAATCTCCTTCTAAAAATCCATAAGCATGGGCGTAGGCAGCTGTGCTGGTTCGGGGGCAACCTGAGCCCTCAGGTGACTGTGCATGAGCCACTTACTTCCTTATGACTTGTGAGTCACCACGTCCTTCACGAACATCCTGTGTGCCTCCAATGCCCCCTAGCCCTGCTTCAAGGGGGAGGGACAACTAGGGGGTCCCCAAACCAAGGAGGCAGCTGCCTATAAACAAGGTGCCTCATTGGTGGGGACCAGTCACTGTCTGGGCCTCATTCAACCAGGACCAGGCTCCAGACTGGAATAGCATCCCCTCCTCTTCTTGGGGTGCTTGTGAAGATGGACACCCACCGGGGCAGCTGTCCTTTGGCCCCTGCAGTCCCCTGGAGTTGGGCTCTCCAGTTTCCAAAGTTCCTTCCAAGTGGTAATGACATCACTCAGAGAAGAGCAGGGTAAAGTGATGTCCCCGTTGACGGGTGACGATTGGGACTGTCACCCCAATCCAGAGTTCTGGAGTTCTGCTTCTCTGGGATAACCATAGGTCTGGTGAGGAAGAAAAAACCTGTCTGCTGAGCTAGGCCCCACACCTGTGCACAGGTGACCTGTCCACAGGCACTGCTGTGAGAAGCAGGCAGGCAATGAAGCGAGCACAGTTTCCTTAGTTCGAGGTTCTGTTTGCTTTCCCCTGGGGGGTCATTCCAGGGAACCGCGAGAATTGATTTGGGGGGTCCCTGGAGGAGCAGGTGACTTGATTCCACGCTTGTTCTCCCATCTCCAGCATTCGCGGAAACTTCACCTGCGTGCTTCTCCATGCTGCAGCCCCCTGACAACTGGTCAGGACTGGGCACGCCTGCCCATACCAGTGTGCTGCCCGTGGGCCACAGCTCTGGGCCCCCGACCGGCTCCAGGTAACTTATGTCAGGACAGATCGACAGGCTGTCGGGGCAGGCCACTGGTTTCTTGCATCCTGGCTCTGGTTCTGTGCCTTTGTTGTGTGTGGGGGTGGGTGGAGGGAGTGGGGGGTGGCTTCTTCCAACAAAGGCCCCAGGCACACATGGACACGGTGACACTGAGGCACCTCTGGGAGGACAGAGTCCTGATGACCCCATGTTCTGCCACAGTAGGTCAGACCAAGATCTGGACTGGACTAGAAGGAACCAGGACTCGGAGCTGGCCTGGCCACTTCTAAATCATTCCGTGGATGGGTCTCCAGCTTCCCTAATCAGCTTCCTTATAGGTACAGAGCACCAGCCTGTCTTCCTACAGGTGCCCTGGTGGACACGCTGGTGGGTTAAGCACTGGGCTGCCAGCCACGCGGTCAGCAGTTGGAAAGCACCAGCTGCTCTGGGGAGAAAGACGGGGCGCTCATGTGTCAGCATCCCACAGGGGCAGCGCTGCCCCGTCCTGTACAGGCGCCAAGAGCCGGAATCAGTTCATTGGCAGTATTTGCTTTTGTTTTGGTCTTTTTACTACAGGGTCTTGAGGGTCAAGATGTGCATTTGAAAGAAAGGTTTCTAGAATCTTCCTAGGCTAGCAGCTGTTAAACTAAACGGGGTTGGCAAACTTTTGAGATGGGAGAGCCAATGCTGTCCCTCCCAAGAATTTAAAAACTATTCAAGAGCCATAAATATACCTTAACAAATGAAGTCAACCAATTCTCTGAATAGTATCCTTCAAAGATTTTATGAATGGAACTGTTTTATTTTCATTTTCAGAGAGTCAAGGTCTGCCAATCTCCATCCCAAACTAAAGCTTGGTTTCCCTGTGAACATAAAGTTAAAGACCCTGATAGACAGATGACCCCGGGTCACCAGCATACCCCGCCCCCACAGCCGGACTCAGCGTCCGATCCTGACAGCCTTGAAATGTTTCTAAGGCTTCAATCTTTCACGGAAGCAGGCTGCCTCATCTTTCTCCCTCAGAGCGGCGGGTGGGTTTGAACTGCTGGCCGTACTGTGGGCAGCCCACACTTGACCCTTCCTGGCGAATGGCGCCTTGCGGTCACTCTGAGGGAGAGAGCGGTCACTGTGAGGGAGAGAGCGAGGCTTCACAAAGCCAGCTTCGGGCTACTCGGACTTCCTTTCTCCATAGGGCCCCTCGGATAAGGGCTCGGAATACTCACAAAGTCAGGAAGGGCCCGAACAGGCTACAAACCATACTCAGGTGTCCAGACCTGAAAATGCTAAGCCCTTTACTGTATGTTGTAGTGGAGTCAGAGCCAACATAGACCGCCCAGTCCAGCCCCATGCTCACAACTGTTTGTCTTGCTTGATCCCATTGCCGTGGCCTCCTCGACTGTACCATGCATGATGTTCCTTCTCCAGAGGCTGGTCCCTCCTGGTCATGTGCATGGCTAATGTACTCGACAAAGCCCTCCCAATCTTGCTTCTCAGAAGCACTCGGACTATCCTACTTCCAAGACAGACTGGTTTGTTCTTGGCTCCGTGGTGGTTTCTGAATTCTTAGCCAGCACCGTAACTCAAAGGTATCAATTCCTCTGGTCTGCCGTAGTCCTTGTCCGGTTTTCCATGCCTATAAGCCATTGAACAGACTGGCTCAGGTCAGGTGCGTCTTACTTACAAAGTGGAAGCTGTGCTTTTAGCATTGCCCCCCATCACAGGGGGTTCACGGGTCCTCCCCCGACCCTGGTGCTGGTGTTAACATTACAGATTCTCTGAGCTTGAACAAGGATGGGGAAAGGATGTCGGGCCCAGCACACACCTTTGCCAGCGTTGAACCACACAGCATTCCTTTGTCGGTTGGAATGCCGGCCTCTCCATCTTCGAAGCGCTCCTTCAGTGTTGTTTGTGACGAGTTATGATCCACACAATCGCACGCCTTTGTAGTCAGCAAGCTTGTCATCAAAATCTTTCTGGCATTTTGTCTTCGTAAGCGAGGGGTGACCTCTGTTCCATGGCCTCTTCTGAGAACCAGCCTGGGTTTCTGGTAGTTCTCCTGGTTGCAGCTGTTGGAACAAGCTCTGGGGATACCTTGGGCGTGGTTCGAATCCACCAAGCACTCTGGGAGAGGGAAGGGTTCACGGAAGGAGTCACAAAGCCTCGGAACGTCAGCATGAGGGTCGGCATTCACTCGGGACGGTGTGTTGGGTGGTGTGGTGGTGCCACCAGGGCTGGCTTGCACGTGCTCTCAATGGCAGGTCATTCCTGCACTCCCTGGGTCGCTTCCAGGTGCTTGGCCAGGTCGCTGTCTTAGAAACTGCACAGCAGACGCTTCTTCGCAGCATGGCATCCCCTTGTTGAAGAACCCCCAAAGTGTAGCTAGGGCCTTACTTATTTCGGAGAAGGACTCTTGGAAACTGCCCTCCTTCCCCAAACCAAATTTTTAGTGCAGTCTTCTCTGTGGGCTTCGTGTTAGCGGGAGCCATGGCATGTAGTTTCATGCGTGGCAGCGCATGGGGACTCAGGTGGACCTCCTGCCTTGGGGGAATGGCTGCTGGCAGAACACGCAGACCCTCTGTTCGCCATGTGCAAGTGTGCTTGGGATTTGTGTTCTGTGGAGAAACGTAGCTGGCGCAGCACATACACTGGTCCATGCAGTGTTATAGAAAGGGTTATAGAGGGTTATAGAAAGTTAATGGGAAAAATCCCATCACCTTTCAATTCCATTCCTTCCCAAACTTGTTTGTTGAAGGGTCAGTGGGACTGCTGTCCACGTCAGCATGAGCCAGTCCCCTCTAGCACAGAGGACAGGACCGCAGCTGGCCGGCAGTCCCACCTGGTGCCTCCGACTCTCACTGGTGTGTCTTTTTTTGCAGCCAGTTCCCCAACCTGTGGTCTGTGAGCAATGGTGCCGTCACCCCAGGACCTCAGACGCCAGCCATGGCCAATGGGCTGGGCGCCCAGTTCTTCCGAGGGCCCCCAGCGCACTACACGGCCCTCCCCCACCCCACCTCGGCAGCGTCCTCAGGGTCCCCGCTGTATGAAGGGGGAGCCACAGCCACAGACATTGCTGACAGCCAGTACGATGCTGCGGCCCAAGCCCGCCTGGCCGCCTCGTGGACACCCGTGTCTCCACCCTCCATGTGAACCTCTCCGGAAGATGCCGAGTCTGGCTGCGCTGACTGTGGGTGGCCCGTGGATGGCTCTGGGTGTGGGCGCAGGCTCGTGGTCACAAGAAGGAAGCCGGCCCTTCATGAGGGCCTTGGAGGACAGGAGGAGTGGGACCTGAACTTGAACTGCCTTTCAAGTGTAGAGAAGAAACCGAGACATCGGGTCCTCCAGTTGCCTGTCATCTGAGGTCCGGTCTAACCCGGGACAGCATTGACGTGCTCCCAGACAAATTTAAGCATGAAACTGGCAGTTGTCCAGCTCCCCACGCCCCATTATTCAGGCTAAAGTTGCCCACCAGGCTCCAGACGCAGCATCTAGGTGACCCAGCGCCACCCTGATTTCCAAGCCCCTGGTTTGGGTTCTACTTCGGTGAGAGCAGAAAATCAATGAACGCACCCCTGTCTTGGGCGAAGTTGTCAGGTCCCTGTGCAGTTGCTGGGGTGGGAGGGTCGCTGACCCGTGAAGGCACAGTGGAAGGACCTCTGATCTTAGCTGAAAGGGAAGATGACGGCTCTGCCCACTAGAATGTTTATTTTGTAGTTGGTCTTTTGTATTATTGAAGCTGCCGCGCCAAAGACAATCAGCAGGAAGCATTTTCTGCACAATAAAGGCAATATGCACACTGGCTGCGCGTGTGGTTCTTCAAGGCCCTCCTCTCGGCTGCCTGGGCTTCTGCTTTTTATGGTTTAGAGCGGATGGGAAAAAAGTCCCCCCACCCACCCATGCTCCACAAGCACTCCGATCGGTGGAATTTGTGGACTGACCCGAAGGTGTCAAGTGCCACAATGTGATTTGACATGATTTCCAAAAGCAGTTTGAGATGGGATGTGGGGTGGCAGCAGAGCAAACAGAATCATGTGGGGTGTTAACCCAGCATGCACAAGTGCTGACAATGAGGGACCAAGGTGGCTGCTGGAGATGGGAGTGAGACGGTGGGGCCACGTGGGTAGGAGAAGGAGTGGGCAAAGTGGAGTGGTGGGTAGGGTGAGGGGGTCTTGTGGAAGGATCAGATGGAGCGGTGTGGACAGGATAACATGATGTGGAGAGGGTGGAGGGTGGTGGTAGAGATGAAGCGTGGGTAAATAAGGTGGCTTGGTGGGAAGGATGATGGCACAGTGGGGATACATAGGATGAATGATAGGGACAAGGTCCAATGCTGTGCTTGTCTGCTCTGGCCAGAGGTGAAGGGCATGCACAGGTAGATCAAAAACTGAGTCGAACCCGTGAAACCCAAACCTTAAGGAAAATGGGAGATCCCAAACTGTCTCCAGCGTAACCCTGCCTTGAGAAAGAGCACTTCTGTGTTTCGAAGCTGAGCCATTGTAGCTGTCTGGAGAACTGTCCCCATACTGGACTCTGGCAACATACCCAGAATCCTCAGGGCCTAATCACTCAAATCTCTCTCTACAGCGCCCAGGGCTTCCGTTGTGAGGGGAAACATGTCCTTCCTCATGTTTAAATATGTTTCTGAGTAAAGTACTTTTATTAAAACGAGGGAGCTGGATCACAGCCCCGCCTTGACCATCCATCTCTAATGACTTCTGGTGGAGAAGGGCGTAAGCATGAACGAGCCAGACGAGGTGTGGGGAACAACATTGCTGGTGCTCGGTGTGAGGTGTTCCACCCTTGAGGCCACTGACCTGAGGAAACAACCCATTTCCATTTCTGCAAACTCACATTTGTGCAGAGGGATGTGCGGGGTACCTTTTCAGCATGGCACTGAAGCAGGGGGCCCAGAATACACACACAGAGGTGGCCTCCGCTAAGCCGTCCTGGTGGCACAGTGGTTGTGTGTTGGGGCTGAGAAGTTGCTCTGTGGGAAGCAGCTGAGGGGTTCTACTCCCTTAAGGATTTGCACTGGGAAACCCATGGGAACAGTTCTTCCCTGCCCTGCAGGGAGGCCAGGAGTTGGAACCAACGTGATGCAGTGAGTTTGGTTTTATGATTCCATTAAAAAAAGTGGAAAAACCCAAACCTCTGAAAACACCAGCTAAGGAGCCCTGGCAGCACTGTGGAAGAAGTGTTGGGCTGCTAACCACAGGTCAGCGGTTCAAACCCACCTTGCTGCTGCTTGGGAGAAAAAGGAGGCTGCCTGCTCCTGTAAATATTTACAGTCTCAGAAAACCTATCTTGGGTTACTATGAGTCAGAATGGGGCTTTGGGGTGGGGTTAACATTGCGCTAAGGATATATGAACTTAAGGTAAACACAAGTGTCCCACTGAAGTTTGCCAAAGTCTCCCATAACTGGCCACATGCCAATGCACTTTGCTTCCCAAAGCTTATGGTCACTGGTCATGTGCTGCTCCCTTGCGATGGTTGGTTGGCCAACTGTCCTCTTCCCAGAGCATCACCCACCAGAGCAGCCTACACACCAGGAGACCATTGGCTTGATGGAGCTGCTGTTGGCCACCCTTGAGGCTGCTCTGCCTCACGGAGACTATAGGCGCCATAGATCCCACCACAGCCAGTCCAGTGCCGCCGCCGCCATCATCATCATTATCATCATCATCATCATCATCATCATCATCATCATCATCATCGTCATCATCGTCATCATCATCGTCGTCATCGGTATACTTGAGCTCAGGGCTCAGGCTCCTCATCTCAGTGAGGGGCTCTCTCACTGACCTCTGTTTCACCAGACACGATGTCCTTGGGTGGGGATCGGCTCGACTGGAGGCTGTGTCCAAAGCAGTGAGCCTAAGCACCTGCCATCTCATGTCTCAGGAGCGTCTGGCTGTGCTTCCTTGAGGACAGGTTTGGGTGCAGGTAATGGTGTCTCCTGAGGAGGAAGGGAGGGCTTAGGAGTGCAGACACTTGGAGGTGGAAAGGGGTCGGGGTTCTTCAACACCACAGCAGCTCTGGGATGAGGCACAGAGAAGGTGTCCTGCCGTCGGTAACAGTGTGGCTTCCAGGGGCCAAGTACGTCTGGGAGCAGGCAGCTCACTACACTAAAAAAAAATGCCTGCTTTCAGGACCGACAAGCGTCCAAGTCGCACCACCTCATTTAGACGAGTGTGCCACACGCTTCGGACTGCCCAGTGGGTGTCACGTGGCCCACCAAGTTTCCCCATGGAGCCGTGTTGATCCGAGTCTGATGCAATCGCTTTGGGTGACAAACAACCTCAACAATCTCAGGAGCTTCCAAGACTAATATTTATTTCTCAATCCAGCTGGGCGTCCTGGCAACAAGGCTGGCTCCGTGCCTCTCCTCTGGCCAGGGAGGGCCCAAGCTGACCCCCGGGCCCTTTCAGCAGGGACTGGGCTTCATGAGCACACATTTCCGGCACGCTCTTCTAGAGAGAAAAAGCCTCCTGTGCTTCCCGCGCGACTGCTCCGAACCTGCCTCCTGTCACGTCCACTCACATTCTACCAGCCAAAGCAGGACCCACTGCCAAGTCCTACCGCAGCAGCTCAAGGAGTTACAGCCCACCCTTGGGGGGTGGAGCGTCAGTGACTGGCTGGCATGAGTCAGAACTGACTTGATGGCACCTAATAGCAATTGATCCGACTGCTGCTCTAAGAGGCAGAGCCTTCCACATGTCCCCAGGGCACTGGTCTCTGCCAAGTGAGGGACACCTCTGTGGCTGTTTCCAGTTGGCTGTGATGGTCCACAGACCTCAGCGAATTATTGGCTCTCCCTGTGCTTTGGTGCCCTTAATTCTTAGCCTTGTCCTTTTTCTTGAATCCAGGATGATTCGATCAAGCTTTGTTGTCTCCTTGTAGACACTAGAGATGAACTCAAATCCCCCTGCATGCAAAACTCAAACCCACTGCCACCGAGTTGATTTCGACTCACAGCAACCCTATAGGACAGCATAACTGCCCTGTGGGTTTCTGAGGTGAGAAGGCTCTATGGGCATAGAAAGCCTCATTTTTCTTCTCATGAGGAACACTTGGTAGTTTCAAACTATTGACCTTCCATTTAACAGCCCCGCTTGTAACTCACTGTGCCATCAGGACTCTTTTGGTGTTGGGGAAGAAAAGTGGATGTACGATGGACTACCGGAAGAGCAGATAAATCTGTCTTGGAAGAAGTACAACCAGAATGCTCCTCACAGGCGAGCATGGTGAGACTTTTTTTCTTCATGGTCAGAGACAACGAGGAAAACCCTTCAAGAGATGGATGGACACTGTGGGTGCAAGTATGGGCTCAAACATAGCAATAGTTGTGAGGCACAAGTAGTGCTTCTTCCTGTTGTACTGAGAAGTTGTGTGTGTCACAGCCACGCGATGTGGCACCCGACAGCAGCAACATCGTTGATTGGGAAATGCCTGTACTTCAGGAAGGCTGTCGTGACCCCTACTTCACCTGTGTTGGGGGCCGAGGCTCCAATCAGACACTTCCCTACTCACAGTCAAGAGTGCAATGGGTTTTGCAAAAGCCAGGTGACCTAAATGCTGCTGGTTCCCCTGGGCTTTCTTGGAATGACATAGTGAGAAGCAGGTGCAGGGAAATCTAGGCTTCCTGCGGCCACTAAGAAGATAGATTTCCCCCTTCCTCTACACGTCCTGGAAGACAGGCCAAAGTGATGTCAAAAGCAGTTGCATGGTATTTAACAGATGTGTGGCGCTGTGCAGCATGAAGACGGAAAGCCCCCTGCCATGAGTCGATTCTGACTCAGTCACCCCAGAAGACAGGGCAGAACTGACCCCGAGGGCTTCCAAGAGACAGCAGCTCTTTATGGGACGAGAAAGCCCCATCGTTCTCCCGAGGAGTGGCTGGTGGTTTCAAACTGCTGACCTTGTGGTTAGCAGCCCAATGTGTAACCAGTGTGCGGCCAAGACTCTAATGTGAACTGTAGAGTTTAGTTCACGATGATGTATGGATGTTGGGTGGCCGTTTTCAATGTTTTACAGCTAGCAACTGTGTGATCGGGGTGGGGAGGGAGGTAGCATCAGAACTTGTACTTTCAGAACAATTAACTACAAACCTACAACTGATCTAAAAATAAGTGTATCTAACACACAAGTG